TCATCAGCTCATGACACAACCTACCTATCGGTATTTATACATGGCTTTCCATCACCACTGTGTCCGAACGTCTCCAGCCCAACGCAAGACACCTCTTGCAGGATGACCAGAAGGGAGCTTGAACCCAGCACCTGGCTGGCAAAAAATCTGCAGTTCAGCCCTGCCCTCAGTCAGCAGAACCACCAGAAAAAGAAGCAAGAGAGTCAAAGCTGCACCACCCTCTAGGAGGACATGTGGCACTTGTGTCACTGCTGGCCCGACACTCCTGCCTGGGGAGGAGCAGGACAGTGATCTCTGTGGGTGACCAGAAGCCAGATCCACTCGCCTGGCTGGGCCTGCAGGAGCCAGAGGTGTCTGCTGTTGGCCAGTACTCCTGGCTACCAGCCCCCCAGCCTGGCCAGCACCAGAGCAGGTCCGTCTGCTGGGCCCAGGCCAGAGCTCCCGCTGTCCGCACGTGGCTGACACGCTGCGGCAGAAGCCTCAAGCTGAAGCCCTGGCTGGCCACCACGCTCAGGCCCAAGCTGGAAGCAGCACTCCCATTTCCGAGGCCACATCCTTCCAGAGGTCAGCTGGAGGATCCACTACAGTGTACTCACTCCTACAAGGTCCAACTGTGGCTGCAACTGCCCAAGTTACAAACCCAAGTGACATCTCCCAAGGTCATGACAGCAAACTGCCCCCCTTTCCTCAAACTAAGGGCTCTTGCTCATGGTCTTGCACATTGACTGCTTTTGAACCTCTGAACACTTGAAACATTTTCTCGCAGAATTTCCAGATGTTTCCCCACTGTGTAGGAAAGCGTGTGTAGGTAGTTATTGCTACTAAGAAGTAATTATCTTCACTGAATCCCATGTTACTTATTTGAGATCATTTTCCTGTATATGCCCAGGAAAAAAGAAATAGAACCACCTTTGGATTACTTTTTCTAGACAGGACTTTCAGAGGAACAACTCCCTTGACACCAGCTCTAACGCAGATATTTTTCAATTCTGGAGAAGCTGCTGTCACCCAGATGCTGTCACAGCCTACAACCAGAGTTAACCAGGGCAGTGGAAGAGAAAGCCCATGGAAAAATACCAGGGGCAGGTTTTCCACTCACACTGGGGCCCAAGGGAAGGCCCACACTGGGGCCTGAACACTGTTGTGACAGGTTGCATACTGGATGTCTCCACAAGCCCAGATGCCCTCCAGCACATACAATGCCTATGATGAGTCAATTTTCAGCACTTGCTTTCTGAGAACCATCCTTTCATCACATCCTCTCAGGCTAACAGTGTGTTTCCCCCCCACTTCAGTGGTGTGGGGAGTCGGCACAGACATGAAAGAGGCTTCCTAGCAATGAAACCGCTTGCCCCACCTTTCTCCTGTACTCAGAACAGCAGATCCAGCTTAGGCTGGGAAATCACAGCTCACCATCAGTGCCCTCCTTGTGACCTCTTTCACCATCCACCTACTTTGCATTCAGAGCTAATCACTCAGTAAACCCAAGCTATCTCCACCGTGGAGGGAGCAGAGAACAAGCCTTACAGCAGACCCCATGGAAGCTGGAAAAGCTGCTCCCACTCTGCATATTCTCTTCCAGAGGCACAGATTAAAGTGGATGGATTGCTGGGTCTCGTCCTCCATCTAGAAGTACAAGCCAAAAGCTTTGCTCCTTTGACAATGCTGCGGACACTTCCCTGTCCCCCAGCACAGACAGAACAGAGGCACAGCATTAGCAGTAAGGCAGTACCCAGTTCCAGAACTGTACTGGTATTTAGTCATGGAAGGACATAAAAAGCAGACAGCAGCATTTTCAGGTATGCCAAAACTGAATCTCACTTTCAGCCCAACTGATTTCAGCCTACTAGCCATCTTCAAGAGTCCCTAACAGCCCATGGTGACGTTGCTGTGTGCCTGCTGTCAGACTCCAGAGAGGACCTGCACTGAAGGCACTCCGGAAAGAATCTGACCCAGTAATGCTTTGGCTGCTACAAGAGGACAGGCACCCTTATGCTCACATTGCCACAGCCACGTGAGATGCAGCGGTGAAGCAAGTACTAGCTGCCTGGACAACTGCTCAGTCAAACTTAATAGGGCCAAGGAGAAAGTCTGCCAGACGTGCCACCTAGACATTCTCCAAGCAGCTCACCTGTAGCACGCTTCTGCAGCAACGGATTAACGGTGACTTTGGCTGGGAGCTTCAGTCACCTCTGTGAAGCTGCCTGGGCTGCAGACACAGGCACGCACAATCCACAGCCCTCCCTCAAGCACTGTGCAGAGGTGTGCGCTACTGATTCCTAAGGATTAAACCCAGCCTCCTCTTAAAGTCTATACTTAAAAGAATCTTCTTTACCTAAATGGATTCATTAGGAACCCTATAAACCACACATGCAAAGCCGCTCACACTACAAGATGCGCTGTCACCACCCGGCCTGGCAGAGGAAGGGGAGTGTAGAGGGGCACGGGGCTGTTCCTCACACAAAGCTCGGTGCAGGGCAGACCCTGCCCTGAAGCAATACGAGACACCGTCTGTCCACTCACCTGACAAGCACTGAGCTGAGGTAGCAAGGGACACCCTGGCTTCTCCTCCAGCTAGAAGAGGCACGCACAGGCCAACAGGACCAGAGGAGCTTTTCCTCTGCGTGACTAGCACACAGGAATCGCTTGTCCCTCTTGCCCCCGCAGCTGTTTCAGCAGAAGGGAGTTTGACAGTTTCTGCCCTCACAACTGCAATCAGAAGCTGTACCAGAACCCCTCACTCTGTGCAGGGACGGTCTTCAGATCACGCGCAGCAGAAAGCTGCTTTCTCCTGAGCCCATGATTATAGTTGTTCCATTTTAGTGAAACTGGCCGCTGCTGGTCTTAAACAAGGCGTCCCCATAGCTACACACTGGAGCTTTCCAGAAAACGCCCTCTGACTTGTCACTTTGCATTCGTTCTATTGATCCAAGTCTCCCTGCACAGGGAGCTGAACGCTCTGCTGCAGAAATCAAATACAGAACACTGGCCTGATAGGAAGCAGCGCAAATAATACACAAATAGGAGGTGAGGCAAAAACAAGACTCCTATTCTCATCCTGCAGCAAGAGACTGTTCTGGGAAAGCTCTGCCAGCCTCATGCTCCAATATCTTTCTAAACATCATGAAGGCACCACAAGCCCCCACAAGCTTACAAAATTCCTCAGAGCTCTTCCACAGTGCTCAACTGCTGATCATGCACACCATCCTGTACCAAAGGCCCTACTTGCTCTGGAGTTCACTGACCAAGACAGCCTTGAGCTTGAGGATTAGCTGTAACAGTGGTGCAATCTCCCTGAAGTCAGCCAGTCCAAAGAAGCACGTCGGAAGAGGCTGGAAAAGCAGCAAGGCCTCTCATCCACCTCGCTGAACTTGATCTACATACAGAATTTCAGGAGATGAAATAGCAGCACTTAAACCCTCTGTGCAGGATCCGCTCTGGTGTTGGCTTTACGCAAAGTCTGTGCATGTAGCAGAACAGCAGATCTAAACACAAATTTTATACGGGCAGTATGAAAACCCCGTGGCTCTGGCACAAAAACCTGAGTGTGAACCAGTTGCTCTGGTTAAGAAGAGGTTTGTGAGAAACCTGCAAACGCTGTCTGACATTTCCAAAGCTTTGATCATGATTGCACCATTCACAACCTGATCAGAGAGAGCACAGCCACCTGTGGCTTCTGGAGGCACTCACTCCTTGGCCCAGGGCGAGAAATGCCATTATCAGTACAAGGCCCAGCTAGCAATTCCAAATCCAGGCCTACTCTGCAGGCAAATCTCAGATACCTGTAATGGCAAGGGTGGATATTTTACAAGGACAGTGCTATTATTGCCAAAATGCCAGGAAAAAGCAGCACAGCTCCTCTCAGGCCAAATTAGAAGGGGCTGCACTGACACAACTGTATCCACACTGGGACACAGGCTGCACAGGCAGAACAGAGCTTCTGCAGCCTGCCTTCCCCAAAGGCAGAACCTTTCCAAAAAGGACAGACTTGCTCTTTGGCCCACATAGCAATGCTTCAAGGGAGAAACTTGAGGCAAGTAGAAACCCTGAATTACTAAGCTCATGGCCACCTTCCAGCCAATATTGTCAGAAAGACAAAAGGAACAAACTTGGCAAACTCTTCACCCTCCCTTCCCACTGCAGGTAACAAGCTGATGCAAAGCACCCCACACAGGACCCTATGGCTCTCCCCTGCTTGCCTGTGACATTCCCTCTGAGCTGCAGTTTCCATCCTTAATGTGTTCCCAAACCCTCCTGCTTTCTGCAAGAACCCAGATTTGCTCTGCCAGCAAGTATCTTTATGTGTGGTGGGTTTTTTTGCTCAATGGATCGTGTGGCAAAGATGGTACAGAAGGATCCCCCTGGTTCACCTCAGAGCAATTGGCTACTTGCACAACATGCAGAGTTGCACAGACCCTGTGATGAGATCAGAGCTGATGGGGGAAGGTGGAGTTTACATAGCTGGTTGCCACACCATTCCACCAGTCAGGTTCCAGCCGATAGCCTAATTTAAAGAACAGTGCTAAACTGGAATAGGAATTAACACACAGCTGCCAGTTTAAAAAGAAAGCACCCTGCTATTTACAAAGGCTGTATTTGCCTTTGAGGATAGATGCACTCTGTCCACATCTGCTGTCAAACCAGCCTGGGAACCAGAGGGGCAGTAGCTACACTCATCCCTTCCTCAGGACTGCAAGGGGACAGTGGCAAGGCTGCTGCAAAGCCTTGTTGGAGAGAGTGCTGTGGCACAGACTGCACTTGTTCACGAGCACCAGTGAAAGGAGTCTGGCTGCATTCCAGGTATGTATGTCATAAGCAATGAGGCGTCTGATGAGCTTTGGGGGCAATGAGCTGGTTTATACATATGCTTTTCAGGGTACCCCTTCCAACACTCTGCTGCCCTGCTCAGCCACGTCCGAAGGGGACACGGACGGTGCCCGCCAGCCCCTGCCGTGCCGCCCCAGCGCCCCCTGCCGGCCCCGCCCCACCGGTACGGCGGGACACACCGGGGGTGACTCCAGACCCAGCCCCGTGCTTACCGCTTGCCCCTCAGATGAGCTGCACCGCTCCCGAGGCCACCAGCGGGGCAATGGTCTTGTATCGGATCAGATGCTGTGAGCCCTCCTCCAGGTCGATGGTGTACTCCCTGCAGAGACGGGCCAGAGGTTACGCTGCCTCTCCTGTTTCACTGGAACCCACACTGCTTTTGTGAAACTAACTTATTTACACACACCGTACAGGGAAGCGCACACCCACCTCTGCTCATCTGTCTCTGGCTCGACCAGGATGTTCTCCTGCCGCTCCAACACCCTCAGAAACACAAAGGAGTCCAGGTTGGGCTTCGGAACTGCAGACAAGGGATTCAGAGCACAAGCTCAGCACTTGCTTATGTTCCCCTGCAGCACACCGAGCTAACAGAGGGGTACGAGCAATGGCAAACTCATGGCCAATGAAGGGAATACTAGACAGTTCTGATTGTACCATGTACCACACAGCAAAGTAGTGCTGTGACACTGTCATCACGTCATCTTTGCTTCTACTGAGCACCCCCTGGAGGACCAACCCTTAACATTTCATGCTCCCCAGAGCCTTCCCCACACCCCTGCTGCAATAATTTTCAGATTACCCTGGAGTCTAGATGTACTCACCTGATTTTAGGAGAGACACCTTCTGCAGGTTGGGCGGCATGTGCTTTAGGGCCACATTTTTCAGGTAAGTCTCTGTGTTTGCCATGTACCTGAAACAGATCACTGGATCATCTACTGGTTTAATCAAATACAAATTTGTAGGGAGACCATTCACTGCCAGCAAGCGACATCTCCGGGTCCCACAGGCATGGCCAGAGACAAGCCTAATGGCTTGCCCTAGTAACTGGCTCAGAGTTACCAGAGTTATTTTACTTCAGCTCTTTCCTTATCCATACGGAAATCTCCTGGTAAAACCCAGGATTCTTACTGCAAACCCGTCTAAGGCTAACAATCTCAAGAAATGTTCAGCATAACAGAGTTCTATAATCTATATAAAGGGAGGGAGACGCATCCAAAACATACTCACTCTTTAGCAAAAGCAAACTCCTCTGGTGATAGAATGGAAGGTTCCCCTTCAGCTCGAGACTTCTCCTTCTCCAGGACATGGGGGAAAAACTTTTCTATCTGGAACAAAAATTGGAACAAAATCCCAAAGACTGTAACAGATATCTCCCAGTAGTTCAGTGCCTACAATCCCCACACCCTAGCGGCTTCCCCTGCAAGCTGCGGTCCGCTGCCGTACAGGTGTATGCAGCAGCCACAGGCCTGACCAAGTTCCTGCTCCTGAATTAAGAGCGATATGGTCAGCTGGGGTCTCCAAGCTGTACAACCATATGTGTATGTGGCAGGACCCAGGCAGAACGTGCGAGCATTCAATTGTGCCATCCTGGGCTTAGAAAACACTCATAGCAATGCTGTGATCCTCCTTCTTCACAACAGAAAAGCATCTCCAAGGAATGAATTACTTTGGGTTGCACTTCAGAGAACACAGAGAGAACACTTTAATTAAGTACCTTGCTGATGCAGGAGGCATTGTACGGGTAAAAATCACTCCTGAAATCACCCTTTTTTGTCCCCCGAGCAGCACAGCGAGTATTACCTTCACAAGCCTACATCGCAAGTAGCTGCTGAGCACATAACGGATCCTTTCAATCTCCATGCGGTGGACGCTGACCTTTAAGTCTCCTCTCTTTGCCCGTTTCAGGTTTGCCTCCTGCAAGGAAAGGCAAAGAGAAACTAAATGGCTGAAATGTCAAACAACAAGAAACAGAGAGAAAGATGGATTTTGTACATAGAGCCCACCAAAACAGACTGCAGCTGCTTTCAGTGACATAAAGCGCACTGTTTCCTTGTTTCTTCCAGTCCCCTCTCCAAGACAAGCTTGAAGAAGCTACTCATAACAACAGTCTTATCCCAGGGACAGAAGAGTAGACAGTCCTGGCAATCCCCAAGCACGCACCTGCCAGGCCAGGTAACCGTGGCCTGGCTGTACCACCACCTCAGCCCAGCAGAACCTACCATGTGGTCCAGCTGCTCCACAACACACTCGATGATCTCTGGTTTGCTCTCCAGCAGCTCTGGGGCAAACTTCTCATTCAGCCAGGCCTGAAAGAAGACACACTGCAAGTAGAAGCCAGGAATACACCTGCTACACGCCCCAGACCCCAAAGAGACCAAAACCTCAGCCCTCCCCACCTCCCCCGGCGGGCTCAAGGGCCCAGCCCCCGGCCGCCCCA